AGACAGACAGACAGACAGACAGACAGACAGACAGACAGACAGAAAGACAGAAAGAAAGAAAGAAAGAAAGAAAGAAAGAAAGAAAGAATTCCTTGTGTATTTTATCTAGATCTCCTTTGGCCTCAAGAAACATATACGTAGAATATATAGCTGCAAAGTAATAGAAATCTACCAAACTAAAACATTTATATCTTCTTGCTATCTAATCATTAACAAAATGTGAAGCAAATGTTAATTCATATTTACTTAAACCAATCCATGTATTTTGGTAATTTTCTAGTCACATCGTGGTTGGAATCCTATTGCTTAGTGTAGTTAAGCTGCAACCAGAGTAGGCCCACTGTATCTTTTGGGATATGGCGAACCAACTCCTCCATAAGTTCCACTGATTCAATGGGCCTATCCTAGTTGTAACTTACTACACTAAGCAGTAGTGTTTCAGCCCATTTTAAAGACTAATTCTATCAGCAGTGGAAAGATTGCGGGGGTGGGGTGAGGTATAAATATTTTCATAAGAGAAGACCAAATGTGTTGACACATTTTCTCGCTTTCTCATATCAACTTCTTCAACAAGAAAACATCTCCAGATAATGGCATACTAAGAAGTTTTGAAAGCCGGCTTAATGTAGTAAACGGAATTCTGAACTAGGGCCGAGGAGACCTGAGTTCCAATCCTTGCTCACTCATGGAAATTCAGTGGAGGTGGCAGGGTAGATCTGATTTCAATCCAATTGATCATAATTCAAATTAGTAGTCAATAAGCATTTTTTTAAAAAAATCTGATTTAAAATTTTTAAAACAATTTTTATATAAATCAGATTTTTAATTTTAAAAAAAAACATCTGATTTAAACATTTTAAAACAATTTTTATATATATATCAGATTTTTAATTTTAAATAAACTATTTTTTAAAAAAAGATTTAAAATGCTTGCTGAAATAAAATCCACCCAGGGGCAACACTCATAAAACCACCATTAGATATCTTACCTACCTCAGAAACCTTACTAGGGTTGTCATAAGCTGAAACTGACTTGACCATGCATCTCACACAAGATGAAACATATTTCACAGAATTAATAAAATTGAGGGTCTGATTCTATTTAGTGCTTCTACGTACAGTACAACCATTGACTTAGTGGCATTTATTTAAGTGTTGAATCAGTAGTCAGTGCTTGATTCAGAGGGTTCACCCTATTTGAGATTTGCAACTGGATTTAAACTAAAATTGTGCTGTAACATTAAATTCCCTGCTTTAAGGATTTAAAAATTCATTTTAAAGCAACTGAATTTTATCTATGTAGACATTGCTTTTAAGCTACACGATTTCTCTATATTTGCAGCTGCCATAAATTTAAATTCTTGGGGTACATCGTGAAAGTTAGATTCCAAAATTTATTACAAATTTATGGTTGCAGAATATGGTAAGCCAGAATCCACAGAAACCCCTGCATACCATGGGTGAATTGACAGATTCTAACACCTGATTGCCAAAGCACAGAACTTCGTTTACTGCATTGTATGGACGCAGGTGTAGACACTACTCTGGTTTGCTTTTCCCCTAACAAATTAGAGATGGAATACTGTACATAAACAACCCTTAAGCAAAGTACACAAACAGGGGCAACTGGGCATCTGCCAACATACTATTTGCAACTTATAAGGCAGCGTTCCAGTGGTTAGTTCTGCTGGGCAAATCAAATCAACGTTGTTTACAAAGGGCCACACTGCCTTTGTAAGTTTTTGAAGCTGAACAGCAGACACTGAGATCTATTAACTGTTCTTGTTCCGAATCACAATGATCAAGTAGATGAAATGATCATGATGGAAACTTGGAATGTGGCAGGAAAAATGTTTCCCCCCCCCCCACACACACACTGCTATATAACACACTCTGCAAACTAGGTGAAAAAATGAAATCAGTACTTTGCCCTCATGTTTAATGGTAGGACAAACACTACTGTTTAATTCAGTTGAAAAAAATAGTAAAACTGGTGGTAATTCTTCAATACTAATTTCACACAGTAATTATATTCAGACAATACTTGTAGCACAATATACAGCTGCCATCCAACAAACCCACAAGAGCTGTTCCAAACACTGCCAGGACAATTTAGCATGGAGACTGCCCACAACATGATGAATATGAATCTTCATGTACAAACATAACCAAAACTTCAAAAAGGCAAATGGAGCAGATTAGAGGAAGCTATCCTTGAAGTGCTTAATTTTATTCTTACAGATTTTATTATTAGGATAAAACAGTAATACGGTATGTCCTTTAAAAAAAAAACAGTACCCCTCATTTCTTACCTCAATATTTAGAAAAGCATCCGCTTATAAAAAGGCAAATGGAGCAGATTAGAGGAAGCTATCCTTGAAGTGCTTAATTTTATTCTTACAGATTTTATTATTAGGATAAAACAGTAATACGGTATGTCCTTTTTTTAAAAAAAGTACCCCTCATTTCTTACCTCAATATTTACAAAAGCATCCGCTTATTTAAACTCAACTTACACTTGTGTACTCTTGCACAGGCAGTTTCCACAAACATAAAAGAAACTAAGTGCCACTCAATATTATCTCTTGCTATAGTGAATATTCAGCTTAACACCATCCGACAACTCTGATAAAATCTTCCTATATAATATGTGTGTTACACAGCCTAGGGCAGTGCTAGCAATATTACTACTGCCAAAGAGTCTGCAGCCGGAGAATCGACTTACAGACCAGAAAAAAACCAAAATGGAACAAAAATAGAATAAAAACTGCCAGTTATGGGATTAATTGGTTTTCAATGCATTGTAGGTCAATGGAGATTCGACCTACAGACT